ATCACATCACATTGTCAGATCAAAAGCGGCGGGAAAACGCCCATGTTCTAATCATTGTCCAGGTTTTGCAACTTGGGAGGGGTGGCTGCACACCCCCTCACTATTAAAGTCACTATTACTCTACAAGGTACATTCGCGCAAGCGTTTGTCAACGTGTTCCCTTTCTCATGGATTTTGATCTCTTCTTCATCACTTGGATAATTTTCATGATGGTTCATGTTTTTTCGGGATGATGTTCCATCATGCTCATCATGCTTCATAGTTTAGCATCATGCTTCATCATCTTCACCCTCTTCATCAATAATCAGATCACATTGCCTCATGTGAAGCTGCGGAAGAAAGCAGATGTTCTGATTTTTGTCCATATTTTGCAATTTCGGTGTTCATCTAATCCTCGCTAATCATCCATGTCGCGTCAGTTTCATCTATCTTCATGAATGTTCATAATTTTCATTGTGTTTCAGGACGTTTCCTGGTTTCACGTTTTCTTCATCATTTTTCATTATTCTCCATAATGTTTCAACTCATGAGTTTCATCAGTCTCATCATTTCATTATTTTCGTGATTGCTCATCATCTTTCATCCTTGCATGACTTTTCACATTTTTCATCAGTTTGATGCCTTTCCATCATGTGCGTAACTTTCCGTTGCTTTTCAAAAGTTGATGGTTCTCATGCTGATTTGCCATTGGTTTATCATGTTCACATTGCTTCATTTGTTTTATCAGTTTCAGTTTTTCAATATTTTTCAATGTTTCTCCCATTTCCCATTGTTGCTGATCCCGTTCTAGAGTTTTTCATAATGTGTCATTATGTTCATGAATTGTTTTCCATCATTCTTCATATTTCTAAATCATGTTCAAAATTGTTCCATCAGTTTTCATCGTTTGCATGGCTTGTTGCATCATGTTTCATGATTTTTCATCATTGAATTTCTTCCATGTTCGTCATTTTTCATCCATGTCCATCTATTTTCATCATTTTCGGAATTTTATTATTTTATCGTGCGTCATGATTTTTATGATGCTTCATGTTTTTTAACATGTTGCATCATTTTCATCTATTCTGTGTTATTTTCATAGTGTTTTCACGATTTGTTATGCTTTGTCAACGTTTGTTTTCATTACACTTATGTTTTGTCATGGCGTTTCATACCTTATATGTTCATTCTTATTTGATGTTTTAATCCTCCGAATCGTAACAGTTGCAGTATTCAGTCATCGAAATCCTCATGTTTAATTTGTTGTTGATCTTGTTCAATTTTAGTTAGATCACCGACTTTTTATTGTTTTGATCCTGATCTAATGTTTTGACCCTTCACCCACCGACTCTGACATGCAAGTTCATAGACGAAGATTGTTACAATTGACCACGGCTTTCCCACCCCAACCCTGCACAAAGGCTCCATGTGGCCTTCTGCCAAAGTGTGATCCGGAGTGTTCAGCATGCCAGCAGCTTGCCTCACCGGTCTCCGGCCCAAACACTAAACATTCCCGGCCCCTCACAGCTCCTGATTCTCTAGCGAAGTCCGCTGCATGGTCAGGCTGCAGCTGTTCATAAAGAAAATCCCGGCTGCAAAGCCAAGGTCAGAGATTCACCCATAAGATTAAGGCCCATGGCGTTGTCAAATTCCATACCTCCAACAGACTGCACTTGTGCCCTCAGCCAAGGTTGATTCTGGCCTCATCCAGCCGTTCACCAAGGCATGCAGAAAACTGTCTATGCTATTTGCTGATTCTATTTCCTTTCACGGCAGGATCCCTCATGCCATGTTTGCACATCCCTGCTTTCAGCATGCTAGCTTGCCAGCCTGCTTTTTGCGTTTCGTCTGTAGCCAATCTTTAGAGAGGTTCTGAAGACAGCCAAAGCCCCCGTCCACAATCCAATGTCAAGGCCGCAGGTGCACGGACAGTTGCTATGAAGGGTGGGGCGAAGGTCAACTTGCTGGTCAGGGTGCGGTCCCTAGCTGTTGAAGATTTCTTGTAGTGACAGCCACAAGAGGCAGCCTCTAAGGCTCTGAATTCGAGTTTCGGGCAGCGGGCTGGCCCACCTCCAGCTCCGGAGCATGCTCCTCCACCCAAGCAGGCAGGAAGGGTTTGCAGGGCCACACAGCCAGCAGAACAGGCGGACATGAGACATGGCTTACCAACTGGACAGGTTTGGGACCAGAACCAGCTTGCACAAAGTCAGGACGGGGTGCGCTCGGACGCGAGATCCGTGATTTTCAGCGTGCATGTTCCTCAGGCCGCATGGAATGCCTCATGGATGTGGCAGATGGGCATGGACAAGGGTGGCAAGGGCAAGGGCAAGGGATGGGCAGGCCAGGATGAGATGGGCGATGTGCGGCGTGCGCTTGTTTTTACGATCGCACAAGAGCTTTGTCAAAGGCCATGGCTGCGGAAGCTGGGGTCCTGGCAATCCTGCCAAGGGTGCAGGACCTATCCGGCAGCGCCATTGTACTCATCAAGTCAGAAGTGGCACACATTGCCGCCAAGTTGAAGTACTGGTCTCACCTGAGTGTTTGGCAAACCTGCCCTTGGTGGGTAGTCCTGATCCGCGTTTGTGTGAGGACGGCCTCCCCAACTTGCAGCTGCTCTTGCTGGCCTGGCAGCACTGGCCGCACCCAATCTTATGACAGGACAGCGCATGATTGGTTGGAGTATTTCACTGGGGGGGGTTGTTTGGGCACCATGACATTGCGAAAGGCAGATGCCCGGTGCCGTCAGCGCCGCTCAGGCCGCTTCTTGGCTTGCACAGGCGTCCCAAGCCACGTTGTCTTGGCTGAGCTTTCACGCAAAGTTCGGCTTCCTAAGGCGAGCGCCGCTGGTTCCACATGGCCATGGCCACCAGGACCATGGGAGCCATGTGAACCAGGCTCGACTCCACTTTGCCATGCGGGCGGGCCTCTGTGCAGCCTGTGCCAGGTTCAAACCTGGCCGGAGCAGCGGAGCAGTTGGCAAAGCGGAAGCTGGCAGAGCGGAAGCTGGCAGGGTCACAAGGACAACTGGCAGAATAGCAGCAGTAGCTGGAGCGGCCAGGGTGGCTGGAGTGGCAACAGCAGCGGATGGAAGAGCACCAGCACCGAAGACAGTTGGAACAAAGACAAAGGGGGCTGGGACAGCAACAGCGGCTGGAGCAAGGAGGACTGGCAGAAGTGGCAAAAACCAGAGCAAGGTGGCGGAGCAGCCCAGTGTGTTCTTAGAAAATGATGTCCTGGGGTGTATGATGGCATATGCAGCTTACAGTTTTTGCTTTGCAGGCTTTCGCGAGCCAGCTGCTGCTGCGCGTGACAGCTCCGACCGATCACGCACGCCAGTCGCCAGGACTGCTAGACTCGAGCCCTGAACATTTGCTGCACAGCCAAGCGGCCAGCACGTGCATCATTCCCACTATCAATTCCGATGGCTCATTAGACTCAGCTTATGATTATCAAGTCAGCTCTAACACGTGTCATTCGTCGCCGGTGAACAACAGATGTCATTGCTACCATCTTGTTTTATGCGCTTCTCCTGACACCAGCCATCAAGCATTGTGCTGCCATGGGCTGGGAGTATCGAGTGCATCTGCTGGCTTTCGTTGGCCTTGCCTTGCTTCTTAAATTTTGACACTGAATCGGTTTAGTTCAGGTTTCTGGCCTGCGCGTCTTCACAGAAAGATCACACATGCAAACATCTCAGTTGAACAGGCCATCCAGGCTTCAAGGCACTTTGAGCTGCTGAAGAAGATCTGAGTGAAAGAGGTCTGTATACTGTTGGATCTTTTGGGGTCCATGCTGAAGAGGTGGTAGGGGAGTGCCAGGAACACATTCGTCGTGCTTCGTTTGCTTTCCTGTTCCAAGGCGGAGGCGTCATGTCTTATGCAGGCACGCACAGATGAAACGCACCAGTTGCCGGGCGAAAACGAAGAACACATGTGATCCAATTTTGACTTTTCACCGGAGCAGAGGCCGTGTGAATTCGCTGTTGTCTTCTTGCCTCCTCGATCCTGCCGAAGATGGGTTACAGACTGTACAGCCGCGGATTGTCCTGGTCGAGCGGTTTCGGGTGGCTGCCGTTGTGGAGGGCCATCTCCGTGCTATGCAACATCTCAATGCTGTTGAATGCGCCCGCTCCAGCTAACATTTCCTGAGCATTGTTCAGGACTGCAGCTCCCGCGAGCTCTGCGAGCAAAGCGCAGGGCGTGCCCCACCCTTGGGAGGTCCATCATTCCAGCGAGTACCAGTGACTGAGACGCAGTCAGCTCAAAGTCTTTTGAGACATCTTGTGAGCAAGAAGAGGCGAGAGTTGAGGGAGAGTCAGCGAAGCCTCGGTAGGTACAAAACGTACATAATGGAACACAGGTGCAACCTTTGGGCAAGGTGGGACGAAAGAAGAACAAAGTCAGACTAGAGGGGGAAAAACGGGAGAAGGAATACAGGAGAACCTGCAGAGGTGAGCTGGAAGCGAGTGCCTGTGCCAGCATTAGAGTCCTGAGAAGAGGACAAGGGTACTTAGCTGGGAACATTGATGAGTAGAAGCCTGCAATTTCTCGCCTGCTCCTTAACTTGTCAGCAGCACCAAGGCTAGATTACTACTGGAACTCTGAGACCGGAGAGTCCTTGTGGGAGAAGCCAGACAAGTGGTAACAGCGCAGGCACAAAAAGGATATGTTGCCATTCAAAACCAGTCATTCAATTTCAAGCGTTTTAAACCTCATGGAAAAATTTTGCACAGTGGCTTTCGTGGTGATGGCCTGCCGTTTTGGCTAAGCAGTTCCGGTCTGCGTGCCATGGGAAGAGCATCATTGGACCGCGCCGTCAAATCCTTACCTAAAGCTACGGAGACGCGGATTTTTAGAACACGGAAGTCAAATGCAAGGCACTGCAGCTAATGCTTGAGTTCTGGTTGTTTGAGCCCGCAGCGTTTTGCGCAAAGCAGATGGCTCTGACTTGTTTCTTGGGTTGTAGCCTTGCAGATGGTGCTGTCACTGCAGATCAAGACTGGCAAAGCGGAGTTTTATGTGGACCTGGTTGCAGCATCCACGGTGCAGGATGTAAAGATTGCGTCGACTGCGGGCTGTGACATTGATCCAGAGCTCATGAAGGCCAGCGATGCTTGATAGGCGCAAAGCGGCGTAAGAGCATAGTGAAGAGTCTATTTAGTGAAATCTAGAATCTAGTGGCTGTAGGTGCTTCAGTTCCAAACATGGGCGCGGTTTCCATAAAGCCATCCATATCTTATACTCGAAGCAGGTCATCTACAAGGGCAAGGTTCTAAAAGATGACGAGGTCCTGGCAAGCATTGGTATTCAAACTGGTGATGCGCTGCACATTGCCAAAGGCATGAGCAGACCCGTCGCCGAGTCAAACAGTGAGAGCCGCAACTCCGGTTATGCAGGGTTACCCACCGACAAAATTGAGATTCACTTCAAGGGCCCGAATGGTACAGAGGTTCGCTCGGATGAATTCTGTGCAACAGACACCGTACGGCAGCTTCGCCAGTTTGCCAGTGATAAGTTCGAAGTGAATCCAGATGAAATGCACCTTCTGCACAAGGGCAGGATTCTCAAGGATGACGGCATCTCACTAGGCGGCAGTGGAGTAGCCACTGGTTCTGTCTTGAGAGTTGCACGTCGGCATGCCGGTTCGGATTCCACCAGTACCATCAATGCAGAGCCAACGCCAGTTCAAGAAGCGGCTGGCTCACCCATGCCAATGGCATGGGGAGCCACAACAGGCGATCTGGAACAGATTCGGACGATGGCACGGACTCTCGGACTGCCGCTGGAACCCCTGGAGCAGGTCTTGCGAGATATGCCGCCTCAGCAGGCTATGGCTGCAGCAATGCAGGAGATGGCACGGTTGCAGCGTGGTCCGCAGGCCGGCGAAACTGCCGTGCAGATGCAGGCCAGATGGGATCGTGAGGCTGCTGACATGGCGCGGCAGGTGAGGGCATACTTAGAACGGGAAGGACACCAGGTCGAGGAAGATGGAGATGAGCTGCTGGCTGACATCTCGCGAACCCTGGCGGAGGCAAGGGCACGGGGAGCTCCTGTGCCAAATGCAGCCGTCTTCGTTGACCGCTCTGTGGAAAGAAGGCGTCAAGCCCGGGAGCTACAGAGGCGAATGGCGCGGGAAGCCAGTGGCCTGGACCCAGAAATTGAGGACAGACGGGTTTGGGCTGGTTACATTCGACAGCGTACTTTTAGTTGCATGCATCTGGTACTTTATACGTAATAGGTACGAGATTCGAGCTTCGGAGGACGCATTTGCGGCAGCGGAGCAATCCCTGGCAGCTGCCGCCAGGGCACCACGGCGGCTGGGTGGAGACACCACCAAAGACGCCTGACACTGCCTGACAGATTCAAAGCTAGCCCATGAAAAAGATGGGATGAAGTCCAACGCAAGATCCCGGAATGCCGGTTGAATGTTTTGCTGTGCATGAGGTGGATGATGCCAGCAGCGCCTTTACCTATCCTCGGAAGTTTACCGTCCTTTGCTGAGTACTGGTCACCCATCTTCAGCGCATGCTGCCTGTCCTTCACACCAGCACGTGACGCACGTGTTGAGCAAGGTTGCTCACTCCAGTCTCTGTGTGTGTGTGTGTGCAGTTTGACGGAGTCTTCGAACAGGAGACAGGCTCTTGGGCCCAAATTACAGATCCTGCATGCGCCGCAGCCTTCTTTAGCTGGCTCGTGGCAAAGCCACGAGCAGCGCTCCAGGCCAAGCAGCTGATGGGAAAACTTCAAGCCTTGGAACTTTCTGATTCCTGCCCGGACCTGTGCGAGGCCTTGATGGAGGCCTTGCGCAAACGCAGCAACACATGGCAGTGTCCGGGCTGCATCAGAGCGACATGCAGCACAGCGAGAGGGATACTTGAGCCTCGTACGGGTGTGTTGCTTAGGTATGGTGACCTGAGCCTGGATGTGGAGGGCTCTGCAGACAGCGTTGTTTGCACCCCTTCAGGCACACACTTTTTCTGACCTTGCACATACTCATTGATAGCAGAAGTTGCGAAGTCTGCTTGATGCAGCGCAGGTCCCGTGACAAGTGGCCGAAAGAGTTGCCGACAGGGCACCGTTGCAGGATGCTTGGGAGGTTGCAGGAGAATGGCGCTGCAGGACAGATCATCCTGCAGACTGGCTTGTGGCGGTCAATGTGAACATGGTGAGGCCCGTTCACTAGAGCCTCGTCGCACGGCCCTGCCTGACACCCCTGCAGCTTTGCTGCAGAGAGGCTGAGCGTACGATTGTGGTCCAGCGTTCGTGCTGCAATTGATGCCTGATGTACCTGACGCCAAGGAGACCGAACGAATGGTTAGGGTGACAGTCGGCCTCAGCGCAGAGTCTAGGAGCAGCCCGGCGTTGGCAAGAATTTTTCTGTTGCAATGCTCCCCTTAGTTAGACTCACTGCAGGTAGGCCATGTCCCAGTGAGGATGACTCAGTTACAGAAGTTTCCTACTTTTTGCAGGCATTGTCGTCGACAGCACCACTACGATAGCAAAGCTACGGAGGAAGATACAGGCGACCTAGCATAGATGTGTTCCGCGGCAGCGAAACGGATCAAAAGAGCAATGGCATGCGCCAGGAGGTGTCCGGAGTCTCTCAGCGTGCCCAGATGTTGTCGATTAGCGGCCGTGCGTTGGGTAGCAACTCCGCTGCATAACCATTGGCGGTCGAGCAACACGCAAGGTTTCCTGCATGCTCTCTCCCTCCTCCTCTTCCTCAGGTTCCGCGGACCACCAACTCCTGCGCCTAGACAAGCAAGAGCGTGTTCTGTGGAGGCAAACAAGCCTGAATCCATCAGGGTTTAGAGAAGCCAGTGCAGGCTGTCCTTTGTGCAGGACTCGTGATATACCTGAGGTCTGAAGTGGCACCAGAAGTTTTCTATTGTGATGGCGTCGACCTTTGTGTCCTCAGACGGTGTAGCGAGTCGCAGGCGCGCCTGGAAAGCGCTGCTTCCAGCATGAATGAGATGTGCATTTTGAGGAGGGTAAGGAAAGCTGTTTAGTCATGTTTGGGTTGCCGCAGAATATGTGGCTATCGGGCACCTCCAGCCAGAAGCTGAGCTGTTGACAGGCAGAATGGCTTGACATGCTCGAGCGCGGTGATGAGTCTGCACGAGCTGGACTTTTCTCAGGCATGCTCTTATTGGCCTAGTGACAACCGCCAGATCCTGTATGCTCCACTTGGTCATATGGTTGAACCTGCAGGTGTTGCCAGAGATCTACAGGAGAAGTTGCATGAGCTTAGGTGGCGATGTGATTGAGTCAGTGCGCATGTAGCAAACGACATCCTCCATCCGCAGCCATTTAGAAAGGCTCTCAGGAGAGCTGACTGTGCGAAATTCTCTTGCGGGAACTCTGGTGCGCAGCGTAGGAGGTCAGACTGGACTTTCGCCGTTCGGTGGCAGTCAGGACGGAACTAGAGGGGAGAGCACATGCTTCAAAGTAACAGCCCCCAAGTAGCAACCTCCAACCTTTGAACTAGGCTCTGTTCCTGGCCCTGACGGAAGCATCCTTGAAGAATTTGGAGGCAGCCTGAAGTCGTGACCTTGGGGAGTTGGTCGTGGCGGCAGTGACACTGCCGGGGGTGGGTGAGCAGTGTCCTTTTCTATGCCAGAGGATGCCAGAGGCTCTACGCGAGCAGGACTCCGACTCGCTGCTAGGGAGTCGGGATTGCTGATGAGCTTCTTCAGCTGCGGAGCCGAAGCGCAGATGTCGGATTGCAATGGATGCGCCTGCCCAGTAGCTGCCATCGGGAGTTGCTTCTGCAGCGTGTGCTTGACCGAGAGCCCCTGGGCGCTCCCTCGCGACTGCGTGTAGGCATGCACGTAGTTCTCAAGCAATGGGATTTCTATCTGCCCGAGCCAAGGTCTGGGTGTGCCATGGCGTGCCTGTAAGTGCTAGGTCCCGACAACCCTCTCTCCTCAGGTCCATAAGGCTTTACTTTTCAGGACCCTAGCCTGTGTACATGCCGTGCAACAGCTTTGCCACTGGTTCACAAGGGTGCGTGCCAAAATGATTGGCTTGTACCATGGCCAGGGACCCACACCCCTCACAACAAACAGAGAGCGGTTTTTGCAACAAACCCCTAAACGTGGCCTCTTACAGAAACCGTGAAAGAGCGCGACAAAAATTATGTATGTAACATGCTTTTCAAGGGGTATGTAGGAAAGGGTCCGGGTCCGTGGAACGCGACAACACGGGGCTTCGGCACACACACCCATAAGAGTAGCCGATACGAGCTCGCGCCGTGTCAGTATGTCAGAAGAAAAAGGTCGCTGCAGCCTCATGTCAAGTGACTATTGCGATCTTCGCTGCTTTCTGCAGGAGCTCTGCGACTTCAACCGGCTGTCCCGCTTCAGACACGTGCTCCAAGAGCAACCTGAAGCACCGATACTGATAGTAGCACGTTGCAGGTTGCTTCACGTTTTAGATTCTCCCCTTAGCACCTTCTCTCGTCAATTTGTCCCGAAGAGGAGCATGGCCAAACTTAAGCAAACAAACTTGCTGAGGCACATGATGAATGATGCGCACAGATACGCTTTTCATCGCATCCCAGCTGCAGGCAATTGCAGTAGTGTCCGGTCCTAGGTCATCTTCTTGCCTCCTCATTCCCTTGGAGTTTTTTGTTGGGAGAAGGGATGATTATGCGTATGGTCCAGCGGGCCAGCCTAGGCTTGCGAGTACATCTTCTTCACGAGAGATGTCCATTCACTCATCCCGGGGTGTGGCGGAGTGAGGTTTGCAACCTGGCAAAGATGAGGTACAGTACCAATGGCAACTTTCTGCAACATGTAGATCTTGTACCTCAAATCAAAAAGGAAGTTCGAACCATGCAGATGTGGCTAAGATGTAAGAATTCATAAGCTCACCATTCACACAGACCTTGTGCATGAGATGGATGTGATTTAAGGCCAATGGCTGCAGGAGGCCGCGGCGATCTGCTAAACTCTGATGCTATTCCCTTTCATCAGCTCCAGCCGCTCACATGGTTTGCTCAGTGCTGTTGGGCCTGCAACATTTAGCACGCGGTTACGTGAGATGCGAGCACCAGTGTTAAGGCGGCTAAGGGCACTTGCATGGTTTTTGCACTGTGCTGGGATCCATCATTTGCTGACAGCTGGTGGCTGTTTGCAACAACCTGCTTCAGCAACAGGATGAGACCTTCCTCCTCATGGCGTTGGAAATCAACAATCCTGCTGCTGAAGTCCACACTCCTATACTGTCTCTTGCCCTTGCTTGTAGTTCGCAAGATGCGATGAGACATGCTCTTGTCAAAGTCTGTGGCCGAGGTTGTATGGGGCCAGGGAGCAGATCCAGGCGAATCATTTGCAAGAGAATAGCAAAACATGAGGCCAATGTGTTTGGTGCCTGAAGACAGAATGCAAGATGGCCGAGGTGCTGACTGTGAGGGTTGTAGCTCAAGTAGCAGAGATTTTCGCAGAGATTTTCCGTGTTGCTGTAGCTACTGAGGCGAAATTGGATCTGGCAAAGATGTTGGCAGGCCGTTCGCGCAAGTGGCATATGTTTGCGGGCATTATCGCCCATCGCTTGTAGGTAACCCTCGGGTAGATCCGCTGGTCCTGGCTGATGTTGCGCCGAGGGTGGCCTGCACGATTCAGAATATTTAGCGGGTTGGTTGGTTCATTGCTGTCAAGCATCTAAGAATCTAGCTTGGTATTTTGTACAGCTTCATTTATCAAGCTCAGGTGCTGCATGACCGGGAGTTTCTGCTAATCGCTGCCAGGAGGTTCTGTACGGGTTGGGCTGCAACTCCTCGAGTACTCACCAGCACGCAGCGTCAGCATTTGCAGGTATGTGAGAGGGTGTTGGAGCTTCGAGCTTCCATGATCGCAGCATTATGGAATCATAATGGGTGGGGATTTGCTCTGCGAAGGAGCGGTGCCATTTTGCAGATGGCTGCGCCTGAGCTGCAGCAGGACGGCGTATGCTAAACCGCTGGGCTTGCACTGCTCTCTGCAGCCTGAAGATTTGTTTTGTGCCGAATCAGGATTTATCTGAATCCTTGCTGACACCTGTCGCCAAAGTTTTGTCATGGCCAGGACCTTGAACTCGTCAAGGCCTGTGTCATGCAGTCGGGCAGCGCGCTGCGGCTGGGCACTTGTATCACTCGTTTGTTCGAGCTGTAAGACACTGCAAGAGTGCCATCAGCTGCATGCCATCAGACTTGTTTCCCAAATTATTCCGCAAGGTTTGTGGCACCCGAGCTGAAAGCCAACAAGGACATCGTCGCTTCGTTGCACATCATAAGCCCGTCATAAGCGGTGTTTTTCGCTTGCTTTCCACAATATGACAGCATGGGGAGAATACCAAGCTTCGGCACTCACAGGTTCTTCGTGCAGTGGGGAATACTGGCCTTGCGCTGGAGCATGCTGCGTCAGAGCTCAGAGATGACGAAGAGGCAGGGAACCGACATCCACTGCCAACCGGTCAACAGGTGCTATGGGCTTCAATGGCCTCTGCTTCATGTTTTTTGTCAGGAAAACGATTGTATCCTCGTCCTTGCGTGCAGGTTGTGCAGCTCGCGGTACGATGCACTGGCCTTGCTCTAGAGTTCGCATCTTCCAGGACGAGCACGGCGTTAGCAGTGAATACAGTCCAGTATCTAGCCCAATTTGCATGTTTCAGTGCGCATCCCGGCCGAAGGCTGAAGGCGCAGCGGACAATCGTCTTGGAGTCCGTGAGCCAAGACGGTTGTGCAATTATGCTGCCTGGCCTCATGGTGATATGCAAATGTGTGTCCAATGCAGGCTTCAGGTAACAGGAGGTGCAAACCTGTGGCCTCAGCGATCACGGGCCTTAGCCAAGAGGTATCAGATAGATGCCACACCATTGTCCGGAATCCTTGTTCAAAACGTTGTTTTCCACTTTGTACAAGTTTTGCTTGTAAGCGCTGCGCCACGCATTGCCATCTTCAGAGGTTGCCGTCGTCGTCGTCGTCGTCGTCGTCGTCGTCGTAGTAGTAGTAGTAGTAGCAGCTGTAGTAGTCATCGTCGTCGTGGTCGTCATCGTGGTCGTGGTCGTCCTCGTGGTGGTGGTGGCGACGGTGGTGGCGGCGGCAGCGGGCGGCGGCGGTGGTGGCGGTAGCGGGCTGCGGCGGCGGCGGTGGTGGCATCTGAGGCATCCAATGTGGGCCAGGAACTAGATGGCAGCTGAAAATCCTAAGCTGGCATTTCTACATGGCAGATTTGCATGATTTCGCCGTCCGATTCCTGCCATGTTGCTGGCACAGTCAGACAACGTGTCTGAGTAGCAAACCTCTGCACCCTGAGAACTCCATCGGTCTCCCTGATTTCTTTGGCGGTCAGTTGTTCATCGCTGGCCTCACAACATTCAGGCCGTTTAGGCTGCCTTGCAGTTAGACGTGACAGCCCAAACAGGATCATGGCTTGTCGCATACCCAGGTTCGCGACTGAGGGGTTGAAGGACGACATGGACGTAGTCACGCGAGCTGTACAGGTTTCAGGCAGACTTGCAAGAGACCTACGCACTTTGAGTGTGCTTTAGGATGCAAAGTCCCAAATCATAGCTCCTGCACTGGCACGATACATTGAACTTGCTTACAGTGTGTTTTCCTGAATGTTCCGAATGCGTGTAGGGTTGGGGTTTTGCAGTTTGTGGTGATCTGATCAGGCCAGGCTCTAAAGCACGTCTCGGCGCGCTTGCGCAATACGCGAGAGGCGCAAGCAAAGCAGCTCTACGATATGGATCCCCCGTTTCAGTATACTCTGTCTATAACGGAGTTCAAAAGCAAAATGCTTCAGGTGGTGGTGCTTGCGGCCCGCCAGCATGCGCAGTCCTTGCAGCATGCATCGTGCCCTGACGGCATGCAGTTTGCTGCATCGTCCTTCTTCAAGTCACTTGCTGCCACAAGGCTTGAGCAAGCGTAACTTCTAGCCGTTTAAGGCAGATTTCCATTCAGGCCCGAGCTCAGATCAGATCTGGGCACCGTCATTGACGCTGTTTCTGCGAGTTTCAAGGCATTTGCTGCTATGATTCGACATGGATCTTTACACGCATCCTACTTGCTTGCACTTGCACCAGGCCTTCGAGTTCGCGAGTCCAGAACTTCGAGGTGAACCGAAGGCAGAGTTGCGTCGGCCCGTGAATTTTACTGAAACAGCGGCAGCAAGGTTGTGACTGTCAATGACTGTCATGTTGAAATATGATCTCTGGTCGAAACAGCTCCAGCTGGACGGTGCATCCACTTGGGTTTGCCGATTTGCCAGAGTCTGTGTCAAGAAGCCGCATGCAACATATGCCACTATAATGAGTCTGCAATGATGCAAAAGTGCACTTTGCGCTGCCCACTAAGCGTCTTTGCAAACCGCTGCTGCTACAAGCCAACATAGACATGTTGTCGGCTGTAGTCATACCCATTGACCAGTTTGAAATTGCCATGGCGCAGCAAGCGCAGCTGCAGCCGCGAGCGCTGAGAGATTTGGAATGCTGCGATGACTACGAGACTCGCTGAAACGATATTTGGTGGTACTTGGTGCAAGCCATCGGTCAAGAGTCTTGAGTGGTCGCTACAACCGCTGCAGGAGGAAGATGCAAAGCGGATCTTGCCTGACTCTAGCTGGGACTACATATCTGGAGGTGGACACATGCTCATGTCAGGCATTCCAGGTGTTGATGTCGGGTGATGCTTTGCAGGACACGATTGATGCAACATATGCAGTGCTTTGCGGCTAAAATCGCTGCGAATTACATGTGCCGTGTATGTACCGGGATATCGAATGCAGAGTTGTGAGATGCCTGGAGGACCAGGCTGCCCCAGCTTCTGCTTTCCCAAAATCCCTGGCTGAAACTCCGAGCAGCCACAAACACTGATGCTATAACCTAAAACTCCGTGCACTTCCCACACCTAACCTTTGACAGAAAGTCCTCCAAGCTATCCTTGCTTTGCCGAGAAGGGGAGAGCGACACCATGCGGCGGAACCTCGACGCCTTCGGGTCCTTTGCGCTGCGGCCACGCGTCCTCCGTGACGTTGCCACTGTCAGCCACCAGGCAGAAAACTCAAGCAACAGACGTACCTAATGTGCTTGCCGTGGATGCAGCTGCAAAGTCAGGATGAGATATTAGGTAATTACTCAAAGTTGCTATGCCGGGAAGGGTGTAATTAAGGCAGAAGAGAAAGAGGAGAGGGAGAAGTTGTGGATTGAAGGGTGTACTGCCAACACTGGAATCTTGTGACAGCCTCTACATGTCAGTGTATAAAGAAGCTGACTATGACACATGCAGGCGAGGTTGCCTGGCACGCCTGTATCAATACAGGTAATGCGTGATAGTCAAGGGAGTGCATCGTGACGAATAGCTTAAAAGGAGTAGGATTACAAATGGTAAGCAACAACGGACAGTCCGGTGCCACCCCAATGCATTCAAGCCTGTCCTGGGAGTTCTTCACGCCGCGTTCCCTTACAAAACTGTAAGAAGTTGTCGGATGTGTTTTTGGAGGAGACGGAACATGAAACAATAGGGGGAAAACAAAGACTCAGGGAGATCCAAGAGGTCAAGTGGCTTGAGCAGCGAGAGGGCGATAGACATGCCGGCTACTAACTACTTACTACCGCCTGCTAACTACTACCTACTTACTACCTACTGCCTATTACCACTAACACCCCTGCCACTAGCACTAGTACGTATGGGGATATGGCTTTTGCTTCTGGATCGTTGGTGTACCTCCACCGTAGCCCTCCCTCGCGAGAGCCCAAACAGACAGCGGATGGACGTTCGGGGCTTTTGGGGCGTAGCCCCGACTGCTTCAGAATAGTGCGCAACACATAAAACAAGAGAACGAGTGAACGAAAGAAATGAATGAATATAGGGATACAAAAGATGCCCGAGACGCCTAATTAACCCTCAGGAAATTGCATGTCAAACAATGTACAATGAAGCCCGCTAGAACCATGTATAAACTGCAACAAGACGGATGGTGGGGATAGGTGCAAAGCAGCGGGAAACAGATATCTGATATCAGCCAACTTCATCAACCGAATCCAACCAATTACACCAAACTTCACTTGATGAGTCACCGCCACCCTGGCGATACATTGCTATGAGTCGACTGGAACGGTTGCACGCCAGCGGGAAACAGATGTAAGCCGATCCAGGGCAAATTTACAGAAGCCCTGAAGACAAGAAACCACACGGTTTAGAGAGAAGAGGGAGCAAAGTGCTAGATCTCTGTGGAGAATTACGGAAAGGCGATGGACAATGGGAACTAAGAATTCGCGTTCAGTGCTTTCAGTCAACACGGCCATAGCGGTCGGGATGCAATCGGGCAATACTTTCGCTCAATTCATTGCGTGACATAGAAAGCTCATTAGCGTGCATCTTGCGGGGGCCCTCACATCCATCATGAAGTTACGGGTGCATGGTACCACGCTGGCCCAACAGTCACTGGAACGCCATAGTTGAAATGCAGAGAAGCCAAGGCAAGCATGTTGTACATGATGTGGGCAGGGAGTGTTGTCAGCCTGAGGTGTCTTACAGGGGTGCTGAGCTATTGACTGCTTCTTTCTGCGGTTGATGAAGAACCATCAAGGGCAGTGCAATGTTGTGCTCCATTGACTCTATCACGGGGCAGCATGAAACGGGAACCAAGATAAAGGGGGGCATGGTGTTTCATTTTGGGCGCCTACCAAGGTTGGCATTTTCTTTCCGGTCCTCTCCTACTAATATTCATCACACTTGCTGTAGACGACAAACGAACCTGAGTGGGCTGGAGCATCATCATTTTTGAAAAAGTTGGCTGCCGTGTAATCTGAGGTGTGGACACTCAGATCTTCGGGAAGCGCTGTGCGATGCCGTTCTACCTCAGCTCTCTTGCCAAAGGCGGTTTGGTTGCGAAAGGTGCCGAGGCCACCTTCGTTCGAGCAGCAGCCAGGTGTTCAACTAGGCCCAGCTGTTGCGAATCATGCTTGATCTATTCTTCCTGATGTTGCTGCAGCCTGTTGCAGACTGCTCCCCTGTCCAGGTTTATCGTTCCTTCAATTTCAAGCATTTCGCTGAGTGACGTTTGGGCTGCATCTGGCAGCCCCGACTTGCCGTTTCAATTCTACCTTCTTGGCGACGAAGACACAAGCATCAAACGACTGCACGAAGCGGTCAAGCTGGGTGCATCTTCCATCATTGTGACTGTCGATGCTAACGCGCCACGGAGGGGGGCTTTGTTCCGCTCAACAGCTGGTGCAACTGGCGTTTTCCCGAGCCCAAGCCTGTCATGGGCTCGACTGGCGGAGCTGCAGGCGATGCTGCCCAACAACATGCGGATATATTTGAAGGGAGTACAGACTGCTGAGGATGCTTTGGCAGCCGTGGCAGCTGGCGTTACTGGCATTATTGTTTCAAACCATGGCGGCAGGGTCTGCGGAGACTCGAGACCTGGCGATCAGCATATATCAGCATGACTATAAGATTTGTGGCCTGTGCACGCCTCCATGGTTGAAGTTGGTTCAGCTAAGGATCTCAGCGCTGCACTGCCTGCAGGAGGTGGCGAATGCCTTGCGCTTGGCAGGAATGCTTGGCGGGCGACAAGGCCGACAAGGCGTGGAGCTCTACTTCGACAGTGGCGTCCGAAGCGGCCGCGATGCCTTGAAAGCTTTATGTTTGGGGGCTCAGGCCGTGGGGATTGGTCGGCCTTATTACTGGGCCTCCGCGTGCCATGGAGAAGATGGCGTCGTTGCACTCCTGCAGATGTTCACAGAAGAGTTGCAGCACTCAATGGCCCAGCTTGGTACAAATAACTTGGGCCAATTGGCTCCTGATTGCTTATGTTGCATGCAGCCTGCACCATGCAAGCTCTAGTAACCGGCTGGTGCATAGCCCGATGCGCGCCAAAGAGCGTGCAATGCCCTGCCCGGCGTTGGGTTTGATTACTGCGGGGCTGACGTTGGCTGAATAGGTTTTGTTCGGTTCTGCAGAGGGCATCTTAATATGAATATGTTTCTCAGGAAGCGGTGCCGGCACTTTACGTTGTCAAATCATGACACCCCCGGACCAAAGCAGTTCACCTGCAGGTTATCCGTTGTGCGGCCAAGCAGCTACTCGCGACGCACGGCATCCTTGTGCGCACCGATGACGAGTGACTGTTTCGCAATTGGCTTGCAAGTGGTGAAGAACTGCAGACTTGGATCTGCAGATCGAGATGTGCAGTATGCGATGCTCACTGACATGCCAGAACATACCAGGGTTGGTTGATGTTGGTTGCAGACTTGACCGACGAGTCTCAGTGCTGCCAGACAAAGGCCGCTCAACAAAAGATGTTTCAAAGCATGTACGTACAAAATGCTTGTAAGAAACCCAATAATAATAGGTCTGCATTATGAATTCTGCGGGGGCATCATAAACAGCTGGCAGACTCATTGAAGAGTTCTGCGAACATTGGTGCTGCATGAAGTTGCGGCATGAAGGAGTCACGTTGGGTTGAAAATGGTATGATGCTCTGAAACACTCACGCCAAACGTCCTGGGTCAGCACATAACTACTGCGAACACCCTATGAAATCTTGCAAAGTTTACGGAGTCAGAGCAAAATCTTAGCAATATCCTGGGGTTCTTCTAGGGTGCGCTCCGAAAATTGTCAGTGTAACTACATGTAACTACATATTGTTATAAACGTGTATGCATGTGAATGTGCAAAGAGATGCATGGGACTTTTTGAGCTTGCACTCAGGCTGCCGCATGCCATTGAGTCTTCGGCTGCACATTTCAAGCATTTAGACCAGGCACGGTTTATGAAGATCTCCTCCATCGCATGAGATCCCTTGTGTGAACTGTGATGTCCGCCTTGCCAAGGAAACAAATGTTCTGCTCGTCTCGAAGGATACTTTGAGAGTCACATCTAAGAAAGTGACGTATTTCGGCAGGCATTGTTTCAGTCTGCTTCCCGGTTGCCGGTTGCAGGGCAGCACAAACATGCGCGTGTGGAGGAGTCAGGGCAGCATTTGCTGGCAGCCCTGCAGACTGGCCTTCTCACAACAAGGACGTTCGGCACCGATCTCGGCATCCCGCAAGCCGTGCTCACAAGTGTATGTGGGGGTTTCCGAAAATTAGGGGTACCTCTTTGGGGGTCCCCATAATAAGAATTAAAGTATTAGGGGGGTCTATATTGGGATCCCCTATTTTGGGAAACTACCATGTGCTGAAGATCTCCAAATTGATGCCAGAGAAGCAGCTGCGCGTAGGACGAATCTCAGACAGTTGTCACGCTGCAAGGGTATTATGACATGACTGCGTGTTTGGCTGGGTGTCAAGCTTGAGGATTCAGCTTTCAAGGTGATGTGTGGGGTTTCTGAGGCTTGGCAGTTGTGCGCCACGATCCTCAGCTGTATCGGCGACTGGAGGCTGGAGTAAAGTCAGGATGCTGATGTTTTTTATTCGTGCCAATCACGTCCCAGGAGCATGTGAAGGCAGACAGGGAGGTTGCTTTGGAGGCCGTGAAGCGGCTTCCAGACTTGCCACTCCGAAGCAGCGACACAGCTGCCAAATGGAATTTGTCTCCACTTTTCTCCCACCACCCAGGTTTCCTGACATGCCCTTCCGGACACGAAATGAGGAGGACGTCCAGGCGAGATGGGCTGCACTAGGTTGTACATCTATCTGCTCCAAGCAAGACACAAAGCCGGGGTGTGTGGCTGCACTAGTCTTTGTTTATTCAGTCTTCGCTCAGCAAGGTTGCTGCAGTGTTGCAGAGACCTGCGCCCGGGCAAGCACTGGCAAAAATCTCTTTCCTAGCAGGCGTTGAGTGTCCTCCATGGTTCGAAGTCCGCTTGTCTAAAGTGGCTTGCTTAGCGACGACGCAGCTCTTGAATGTGATCTCAGGAGATGGTCAGCTTTGTTTTGCCGACGGATGCTCCTGGTCCAAGACAGAGTTCCTCCATCCCCCAGGATAAAGATCAGTCTCTGCTGAAGTGGTATTCAGGGAAAGCTGAGCTCTGGTGTATGCCCCAACGCTGTAGCTGCTTCTACCTTTTGAGTTCATGCTGAACGGCAAGTTAAAGTGGCGCATAAAGGTAATTACAGTCCTTGAAGTTATGGCATACGCACACACGCGGGGTATGCATTTATGTTTATACATATCTATCTGAATCTATCTATCTATACTTTTTTTTTTGTTCTCTCCCAAGCTCAAACTAATGTAGGCCCTGGCGGCCGACGTCCACTTGTGTGTGCAACATTTTCAAAATCGACGGCAGCAAATCCTGAAGGCAATGCCTTGCGCGTTGAGCCTTACACTACCACGTTCAGACGAACAAGAACGCCACTCTGCACATTCCCTTTACCCTTCAAGAGAGTCCTGCGTGTGGCCTGTACCAAGCACGACACTTGGACGTAGAACCCTACAGACAAACAAGAACAAGCCCCGGCGTGAGGTTACGAAAGTGCTGAGGATCGTGGCTCAGGAGAGCAAGGGTTCGGAGTCATGGACATGTTACTATATAAAATACTTGTCCATGGGCCCAAAGGAGGGAACAAGCTTGTGATCAGTTTGAGCAACTTGCGTCTCACGTTCCTGCTCCATTCTCACAGGACATCTTCTGGGTAAGGTAGATATGGCTTGTTCCCTGGTTTCAAGCGATTGTGACCGCCATGTTTCAGGTGAGACATCGAGGCTGAGTGCAAATGCAAGCCCCAGCCTCATCTGAAGTTGCTCGCAAGCCGCAGAAGCAGGACACTCGAACATAACACCGCGTTGTTGACCGCTCCTCCAATTGCTCGCGCAGCCCACTTAGGTGTTGGGGCAGTGATCTGCGGCTGACGCAATTTCACCGCAAACCCCGTCGACATTGGCCACTGAAGCCGCTGCATCTTCGCAAAATCGACAGGTTCGACGGGTAGGTGATTTTGCAGTGTTTGCAAAGTGCGCATCTCCCAGCCGAGCTGGTGGATTCGGGAAACTTTGAGTCTCGGTGTGCACAGCCCTGGTAGGTTGTCTCTAGAGTCTCCAGAGTTAGCATTGCAGGAAAAAAACCCTGCCAGGACTAGCCGGTCAGGGATTTGAGCAGGAGCTGCGATGTACCGTGTGTCAGGCTGTTGGATATGACATGATGTGACAGTGATGCGACCAACAACAGAGTCTATCTTGTAGCATGACCTGCCCAGCACGGTCTGCTCTGACACTGAGCCAGAAAGGCGCAGTTTCGTGCGGTTCAGCCCGCTGCTTGGCTGTCGCCGGCTTCGTGCCTTCTTTGAGCCAGTGATCCTCTTGGCCACCTGCAGGGCATTCGCCCAGAAGGGTCGATCGCTCCGCGTGGCTTTTCAAACGCCCACAACGCAAGCCAGCATGCAAGGTTCGCCACATGAGCAAATTGCTACACACGTTAAAGTCCGCGTCTTTTGGCAAGAGGCGAACATTATTTGCCAAAGACATTTCTCACAGCTGTTTTGCGTCAGCACCGCCAGAAAGCGCATTCTGGTGTAGCTCTCTTCAACTTTTTATGCAAGCTTTCTCAGGGTCTAGCCCATGCTGACCCTTCATGGATTGTTATAGGAGTGCCCCGGCAATATGGCGACAGTGGAACTGGGAATTTTGGATCAAGTAGAACTGCACTGGAACAGGTCACTATCTTGCCGGGAGACAGCCAACATCCGCAACAGGGAAGAGTTGGTGCCAGCGGCCGGTGCAGCCATTTTTCTCCAATCTGGTAGCATACACTGGGCTGGGCACCAAAACTCTCTGTTCAGGATCGGAAGGTCTCCACCCTTCGGTCCGAGCATTTGAGCAGATGGGCGAATGAATACAGACGCGGCAGTCATTCGGGAATATGAGCTGGTTTATGTAAGAAGTGTGAAATGGGAACTGGATAGCAAGTTGTCAGCCAGACTCAGGGGGAGATTTCGGAGCAAACAGACGGCTCCTGCTCGTGCGATGTTCATGCGTGGGGAAATTTCGGCGCTTTTCCAAGATGCTCGGATAGCTGTTCAGCTGTTCAGCTCAGATCGTTGACAGATGTATAGAGTGGAGGTTGGCTACAGCAATTGTCTGAGGCGAAGCGTTGCTTCAGGCTGCTGGGCGCTGTTTAAGCGGCAGGCATGCTGCTTTCGTGCCCACATGCAATCACTGAGGCAGGCCTCACAAATTGTTCGAGTATGCCGTTTCGTGCTTGAGCTACAGACTGTCCGTCTGTTAGAAGCAGCTTCACGCGGACCTTGCAGCATACCCGCTGCTTACGTTTGAGCTTGTTGCCGCCGTGCAGCACGTTTCTCAAGTGTTGAAGTGCAAAGTCATGGACGTCAAGCAAAGCAAGTACTGGCAAGAAGCAACGACCGGGACTAGTCCGTGGCAATGTAGGGGGGGTCCTCTAGAATGAGCCTGGAAGCTGCGATGGAGATTCACAAGCTGCGATGGACATTGACAGCATCGCACCGAAGCTACAAGACTTGAGCTGACAGTCTGAAATTTTGGTTCGATATGAGATGGCTATGAAATGGCGTTTGCTCCTCCTGGCGCTGCTTCTGCCGCGACTGGCAGCGGCCGCTGGCGAGGCCAGCGAGCAACCATGCATGTGCCTGCAAGGGTGACATGTTAACATCCTTGCCTGCTCTAGCAGGGATTGACTGCCATTTTGGTTCCCCTGAACCCTGTATCTTCTGTTTCATTATGTATTGCCGGTCCTGAAAATACTTCTGCTGGCACTTGTCAATCGCAACATGTTTAAAAGCTACATTATCACCAGCTGCGAAGTGCTTGTTTGCAAGAAGCACTCTTAGAAGTCTTGACAATTGATCGCTGCACACGCTTGTGCAGGGCGATCTATGGTATGTGGAAGATTACGAGTACCTCCCTGAGTTGTGGTTGAGGACCCAAGTTTGGAATGCTGCGCGTGCTTCCTCTCATGATGTGGCAAGGCGCATTTTTGAGGGCAGCCCTGTTGCCATGAAAGCAGAGCATCTAGCAAATCTGAGGTACAACTATGTCGAGAGTTTGGCAGAGACCTTAGTTTTTGCACTGTTGAAGTTCTTGCCGTGGACGGCTGTGTAGATAACGCATTCATTCTAGTCAGTGGATCGGGCTCGGCAAGGCTCCCGTATCAACATGTCAATTTGCCGCGCAAACAGCTTGTGCTTCCAGCAGTTGCTCAATCGAGGTGTTGATCACTGTGGTGTTCGTAGAGCTGGTGTGCCGTGGATGCATGAGCGACATTGCAACAACGCCGCATCAGAAGTGTGTCAAGAGAGATGCGATCGATAGACATGCATAGCTGCAGAATTTCCCCGCTGTATTGAAAGAAGTGGTGACAGGTTCCGCTTCGTAGTCCTTGATTTTTCCAGTGAGATATGGGACATGTCATGGACTTTCAGCTTTTTGTTAGAAAAATGCACACAGCTCCAAAATGCTTGTGTGAGGTTCGAAGTGACTTGGCACTTAGTTTCTGCTCCCGTTCCTTGGCCGATGATACTGGCTGGTCGCGTAGATGTGGCGAAGCTGTGAAGAGCTTAATGAAGGGATGTGCTTCATTTGCATGGGGACCTGGACTATTTTCTTCATTCTGCACACGCAGTCTTAACATGGCAATCATTGTGCCATGGGTTAATCCCAAGTTGAGGCGCGGAAGTCGTTTTACTATGGCCAGCTGCATGAGACAGCTTATGAGCCAAACCACCGGAATGATGACGAGCTGCCTCGACTCAATTGAGACACCAGCAAACGATGCTGCCAGAGCTTGTTGCTTGCTACATCTTTTTTGAGCTTCACTTCCTGAAGATGCATAGCAGCGCTTCAGTTACCTTCGCCTTTAAAGATGGTTCCAGCACGCTTCAGCTTCATCTTGACATGGCTGATTGCTGATGTGTGAGGTATTTGCTTCCAAAGGGCTGGCTGCGATACTATAGTTTTCATTCTCAAGACCGATCTGCTGCTGTTGTGCTTGCACATCCACTGTCAACCCTGCTCTGACCTCCCTGCTATCCGCTGCTATCCTGGTCGTGAAGCTTTTCGTGCATCTTTGCCATTTGCAGATCCGTGCTACTCAGCGTGCTTTCGAGAGATGTTGGCTGGCTAAGGTCTGGGAGGATCCCACATGCGCGTCTCTACCAGGAATTGGCAGAGTGCTCCGCAGACCCAAGTGTCGGTAATTGAGGCCCGCACGATGTCAGGAGTTTGCCAACCGTATGAGCAGCGAGTTCATGTCGCTGGGATTCCTGGCCTTCATCATTTTCGGCCGGGGCCTTGTGCGCGAAAGTTTAACACAAGGACACGTGGTTGAAGCCGTGAACCTTAATACCGACATGTTAGAATCCACATCTAGAGTCTAGAGCTTCTTCAAGCAATTCCAGCCGAACGAACTGACCAATGCTAGCTCCCGACTGACGGCTTGCCCTTCCATGCCAAGGTTCAAACCAGTTGGGTGGTTTCAAGGTTATGGCTCTATCGCTTCATTCCTGCGCCATGCATGCGCACAGAGACTTGGGCGGCAGAAGCATGTGTGATTCTAGAAAGCCCTCTACCATCCACCTGCTGCATTCGTCCAAGGTGAGGTGTTTGGGCACGGTCATGATCATATTCACTCAGGCTCTGAACAAGGGTCACAGTCAACACAAGATACAAGCTGGCGGCATCCAAATCACCGCTTGGCAGAGCAGCTTTGTTTGGGAGGTTCTGGCTCACGGCGGTTGGCTGGAGATGGCTGCACTCCCCTACCCCCATCAGCAGAGGCGCACGGCTCATCCGGCGCACGTGGGGCTGTTGGTGGCAGCATTCTTCCATTGCATTGGACTTGAGTGTCAGATTCAGATATAGGAGCACTTGATGCTTACATCGTTGTGCATGTGTGTCGAGCCTGCATGTCCACTCAGTAGAGAGTCGCTGAGCCGTGTGCAACTTATAGATGAAATTCCTCCTAGCTGTCCTAGCTCTGAGGGCCGCATGGTCCACACAACTTCCCTGCCAGCACGCCGTTTAATGCCAAAGTCAAAGTGAGAAAAAACTGGTCCGTTCTCAGGCATGGCTGCACCTCGTAGCTGCTTGGCAACACCTGTAAATTTGT